TGGGTACAGGTAAGTTTTAATACAAACACTACTAAACTGAAACAGTAGATTCAGGTCCAATCACCAGTTTTTCATCTATCTACTTATAGGATTCTAGGATTATTTTAGTCTCTTTGTAGTTTTGCTTTCAAATCCTTATATACAGATTTTCTAAACATATCCAAGGGGGTGTAGCTGAGTGACACAGCACTGGCCTAGCATGCATGAGGTTCTGAGTTCAGACCCCAGGCCACAAAATGGGAAAAGTATGCAGGGTTTATAACCCGTAACTTTGTATCCCACCTGAGCAGATGCCTCCTGGACACAGTTCTTGGGATTTGGATCTACAGTGCCCCCAAAGTCTCAGGTGTCAGTGTGGGGCTTTGGAAGGTGACTGGATCACGAGGGTGGCCCCTCACCATGGCTTAATCCATGGGGGACCCTCAGCTGAAGGTGCTACTAGCGGGCCTGGCCGGCTGGGGGATCGGTGAAGCGTGACCCTGAGGGAAGGTCTTGTCCCCTTCTACTTCCCGCCCACAGCAGCCGGTGCGCCTGGCTCTACACTCACGTCCTCCTATCTCCGCCCGTAAACCAGCATCTCGCCCCTGCGTTATTACAAAGCTTGTGACTTGGCTCTCTATTTTTCTGCCCCTTCTTTCTGGTGCACTTTCAGCACAGAAACTGTAGTTAATCCTATGACAGGGAGAAGTCAGACCAAGTCAGATTACGTTGAAGATTCTCCCCCAGCTCACACGACCCTAAGACTAAATGTCCAGGTTTTACCCCTGGCCAACTGTTCACTACCTATTTAATCAATCTTCTGTCCCTGTCCCACACTGTTTTATTTAGGACTCACGGACACGTCAGACACCCTTTTCTCCTCAAGGTCTTCGTACTTAGATTCCTTCTGCCAAATTATTCCAGATACCTGCATGACCTGCCACTGGCATTTTTGTAATTATCTGTGAAAACCCCTTTCTCCCAGTTAACTTTTTTCCCATTTGACTACTTTACCTTCACCAATCTTTATCTCTCCTTCCTGGCTTATTTTTCCACATAGTGCCTGTCCCCTTTTATCCTGTTAAGTATTTTGCTTATATATGGCCTGGGTTTCCCCTCCAGAATTTGAACTGTATTGTGCTAGGGATCTTTGGTCTCTTCTCTTTGCTGACATATCCACTAATTATAGCAGGCATTCACAGACTTTTGCTATTAACTATTGACAGCTGAGTATTACACAGGTGATAAAATTATTTGCAAGCTGTTACACTCATGTGAAAGTAACTATAAGAAACTGAAGGTAGTGAGAATATGTGTGGGAAACCCTGTGAGTCCATTCAAACGCAACACATCTGCCAAAATTAAACCATCAATGACTTACATTATAAGCCAGAAAAAATGCATTAGAGAATTCTTGGTATGAGATTGATCATCTTCCTCACTGGATCTGTAGGGGCGGATATTCAGCGGAGGCTGCCACTCATTTAAAAACAAGAGGTGCCCACTTTGATGGCATCATGTAACATGAAGTCCTAGTGATTTCAGGACTCACTGAAATGCAGAAGGAAGGCCGTCCTCACTCAGAGGCCACCTGGATCGAGAGCAACAGGGATCTTGCCAGATGTAAGTGCTCATGAACCTCAGAGCCCAGGCTGGACTGTAAAAGACTACACAGGCAGAAACACTGGGAAGTGGCTTCAATCAGTCTCACATGTGTGAGCATGGCATTGTCTCCCTAGTGTAAGAAGCAGAAAGAGTAAAGAAGACCCAAAGTGTACAACAGATACTGTGAAATGGGAAGACAATATGAAGAAGGAAACAGAAACTGAGATGGGGAAAGGAGAAAAGAAGGAAGGGAAAAAGAAAAAAATATCTATAATAGTTACAACAGCTAAAATAGTTATACTACTAATAGCAATTAGTTCACTGAAAAGAAAGGTTTGTGCCTATATTATTTGATCAATTTTTTATTCCTATATCTTGTAATCTGAGCAACAGATTACAAGATTTTGAAGATAGCAATGCACAGTGTACTAACCATTGTTACTCTCCTACTGTCCTGTTTTCAAGTTTTATACCATAGTTTTTATTATTTTTTCATTTCTTTAAAATAATAAAAAAAAAAAGTGGGTTAAAAAATACATTCACCCTCTGTGAGCCGATCTTGCCCAGAAGAAACCAGCACAAAGAGTGAAACTCTCTGGGGAGTGCAGAGCCGTCCAGCTACCTCAGGGTTCCTAACAGCAGGTGAGACCTGCGTATCTGTCCCAGAGCCCGCCCCGTCCCTGCGGTGCCCCTACAAAGGGAGAGCACATGACAGTCAGGCTGATCAGGGCCCAGGCGTCAAAGGCCAAGACATCTCGAGGTGAGACACCCCGGACTATGAGGTCAAATAAAACTGGTAAATATACAGAAATGTAGATCTATCCAGTCATCAGAAATTTCTCATACAGAACCTTTCTTTTCATAAATTAAAGTAACAGATAAACATCTAAAAGGGGACTTCAGGCTTTTCCTGTCAGTGAGAACACGTAAAATTTTGGGAGGTATAAAAATGATTGCTACTATTAAAAGTTACTGAAAATAACAAATCAGCACTACCAAAGAGGTCGGGATGAATCCTACAATTTTTTTTAGCTCTTGATATATATGTTCCTTTTGAATATGCAGTATTTCCCTCACAGGTATGGTGGAGCCCAGGTTTTAAATTTATAAGACAATGTAACCATCACATCGGGGCTCTGCTTTTGATAGCCTTATACTTTGCGACAAGTCCCGGGGATCTGAGCCTCTCCTTTCTTACCTCCTTACTGTGTTTAAAAGCAGTCTTCACACTGTTGTGCAACTTATACCTGGGGAAGTGTGAGTAGAGACATGTGGCCTGGTCACCCTCTTGCTTTATAATCTTCACAGTGGTTGCCACCCTCTGAATGCCACTTGCTGATTTATGTTTATCTTCGCTGTTTCTATATCTAGAAAATAAATTCAGGGGGACTGGGACTTCCTCCTACCTAGAGCAAGACGTGGCGCCTGGTGAGGTCCCAGAACCTGTCTGCGAGTGGCCGAATACACGATCACTACTGACTGTGCCTGGTGCCTGTGCTCTCCTGCTTTCTGGAGTTCTCCAAACAAGCAGCACCACAGGGTAATGTTACACAGGTCCACAAGAATCCCTAACACACTCTACAAAACAGACAGTTATCACACTGCTATGAAACTGAAATAGTTCACTTCTAAAAAAATTATGTTTACAACTACATCACCACTGTAAAGGCCATAATGAAAAGCTCAATTTGTAGGGCGAAATGCCGTGTTACATAAAACCTGAAGTTTTGGAATAATCACCACATTACACCAAATTTGAAGTTATGGAACATCCTGACCTCTATGGGTACATACTGATTATCCAGGAAAGAGACCATAGGCATAAACATGTACAAAGTCAAAACATGAACTGAAAGAGAATCTCTTTACGTAACAGTAGACCCAAACAAGTTGCCTGTGAGTGCTAAGGCCTAAGGCTCAGCCTTTATCAAAGAGCGTTCTTTGGGTGAAATGGTGACTACAATCCCACTGACCTTTGAGAAATCCCTGAAAATTATCTTGCAGCTGCTCCAAGCAGCCAAGGCTCTGAGTTCTGTCTGTCCCTCCAGCCAGTGCCTGAAGAGGCAAGAATTATGGCAGCAAAGAAAACAGTGCTGACTTCGTGCCCACAAAACTTAATTACATTTAATTACAAAATTATTTTTTCATTTTGGCTGATCTGTTCATCTTCACATTCTACCAGTGCTTCTCACGCCCAGGTGTGAATTTTTAGCCTTGCATGCTGCCTAGGAAAGCTGGTGCAGCCTGGTCCAAGTTCCACAGCCAGAGCTAAGGGAGGCAGCAACGCCCAGGAGTGGTGACATCCGCTGGGCCGCGGGAACGGATGCAGAGCACGCTCCTCACCCGAACACCGAGGGGGCGGCACCTGTCTCTCTCCTTTCCTTGGAGTTTATTAGCAGGTGTGTGCAGCACATCATGTGTACACTTGTGTGGGAAGCTGGTGCATGTGCACGACACGCCCTGGTGTACATGTGCCAGGTTTACAGGAGGAGTGTACACATGCTGTGCTGCAATCCACAGGAAGGACAAAAGGAAGGGGACCCAGGGAAAGGTGGAGGGAAGGAAGAGAAATGGGGTGAAAAGCATACTCTTTATGTCAAACTTTTCTCACTCCAGAAAAGGCCGCTTAAAATGTGCTGCTTCCCACAGGAGTGTGGCTCGCTCTAAGCATGTCGCTTTCTTGCAAATCATCAAATTTCACATGTAAGATCTGTGTATTTGAGAATATACAAATACTCAAATATACAAATACACAAACCTCTACCCCGATGGAAAGCACCGCCTCATAAGCTCAGAACATTCCCTCTCACGCCCTTCCCTGGGCCCTCCCCGCCACTCCTCAGAGGCAACCGTTCTGATGGCTTCTCTTTACTACCGGTTATTTTTTTCTGTTCCCAAATTGAGTAATACAGCAGGACATTGCTAAAATGACTTCCTGCTCGACCTTGCCATCAGCAGTGTTCACCAGTTCAGATCCTCCCACAAAAGGCTGATATTCGACATTACAAATGTCATTACGCCTCAGCCATCCCAGCAGATGCGCAGGAGTGTTTCATTACACTGTGCGCGTGTGTTTCACAGACGCCGGCTACAGCCAGCACTCCTCATGCGCTTACTGACCACGTGTACATCTTCCTTTGTGTCTCTTCACTTTGCCCTTTTCAAATTTACCTGTTTGATATTATTGATTTAACTCAGTCATATTCTGGATTCAAAATTTTTCTTAGATATAAATACTGTGAAAATGTTATGGGTTGCTTTTGATAAGAAGAGTTTTGTTTTAATTTTGCTGATATCTCATTTAAGCACAGTTGCACATGTTGTTTTCTGTGTCAGCATGTATTTCTAAATAAAGACAACCATGAAAGCCAGCATTTAGAGTCCCCACGAACAACACGCAACACTTGCGCATTTACCTTTGTAGGTCAGCCTGAGTCGGGGGATGTCTTGCTTCGACGTCCCCAGGACAGGAAGAAGCAGCGTGGCCATGCTCAGCGTCAGCAGAGTGGGGAGGAGGGGAAGATCCAGGCCCCGGGGCTTTGCTCGCCCCTCTCTGTGGATGCTCATGATGAAAACGACGTTTTCCTTCAAACTGTCAGGGAGCACTACAAATTTTAAAACATGAATGTTAAGACCCATTTTTACAGACTGTCCCAGACTTAGGATAATTTTCTGATTATATTTGTATATTTTTTGAACAATAAGTTTTTCTTTCCCTTGTTTGGATCTTAAAGAACTATTACAAAGAAAACAAACCAGAAACTGAATAATAAAATTCAGGACTGTTTTACTCAGATGTAGGAAAGAACACACCACTAGAAATCCATTCCTTTTGTCAGTGAACATCTCTTATCACCAAAGTTATTTCTGGCTTTGTTTGCTTGTTTTTAATGCAGACATCTGAGGAGCCAGCTTTCTGCGCAGCTCAGTGAGGCCCCGGACTGGACAGAAGCACGGCAGACCCCCGCTCGGCCCCTGCATCATCCCCACGGAAAGGATCCTCCGCCAAGAGCAGACAGAGGCTGTTGTTTCGAGTGTTACTAAATGTCTCGCGACACATCCGAAAAGCTCGCTTTGATTGGGACGGTGGGTCAGATGGGGTCAGGCGCCAGCACAGCACACAGTGCTGGTCCAAGCAGCTTCACCTGGACTGCCTCCTCCGTGAGTCCCCATGCGGATGTGCAGGTGAACTGCAGAGTGTGAAGGACTACAAAATGCAGGAAGTGCTTAGTAACAACTTGCCATGAATAAGTGAATTTTGTTGTTTATAAGACACAAAGAAAACCAAAATACCTATTTCAAACCAAGCCTGATATTAAAAATTGCCAATAAGTATATGTATCTTTTTTTTTTTTTTTTGAGACAGGGTCTTGCTCATGGCTTGCCTTCAACTCAACTGTGGAGCACAAGCTGGCTTCAGACTCATGGCATTCCTCCTGCCTCAGCCTCCTCAGTGGTAAGATTATAGGTGTGTGCCTCAATGTCTAGGAGAGTTTTTATTGTGAAGTATCTTACTGGGAGAGTTAATTGTGGGGTCAATTTCAAGAAGAAATGCCTACCACCAGCTCAGTGAAGCACCGGTGTGTCTGGATGACTGACACATAGGTCACAAACAAGATCACACACTGGGTCAGATTGGTAACCCTGATGCAGTACACCGGGAAAGAAGGAAGCCTGCGACTCCTCCTTGGGAGCCACTCCAGCCCTCGCCATCGTATCCTGGCACCCAGTACTGACGCACTCACCGCGCAGACACGCCGCGGCCTGTGCGCTGGACCGCCCGGCTGGCGCTGCACACAGCACGGCCTTCGCCTCACCGACTGCAGGCGGCCGCGGGAAGCCCACCTTGTAAATCATCTTTCAGGTGTCAGGTGTGTCTGTGGTTATTTACCGCACTTCTCGGGTGAGGACACTGAGCTACACAGAGGAGCAGGTCTTCCAGATCTCAGGGAAAGGAAGTGTGGGCTGTAACAAGAGCGGGAGGTTCAGCCCTGGAGCCGCCTTGTCACTCCGGGGGCGCCTCTCCTTCCGCAGAGGCAGTGCGCTCTCCCTCCTGACCGCTTCAGCCCCTGCCCCTTCTCCCCAAGTCCTGCCGGGCTTTCTGGAAACGGCCCGCAGGAAGGCCGCTGGCGTGAGGCTTCCAGGGAGGGCTCTGAATTTAGCCAGAGTTAACTCTTGTCTAAAGATTTGGACTTCCTTAGTGATAAGTGTAGCTGCAATATGTATTAGATTTTGTGATTGTCGAACCATCTGACCTTCAAATTAAGTATTTTTATAACAGCGCTTTAAGAGACGCTATGAAGGATGAATTTTTCTTAGGAGAGACCAACTCTTCACTCGAGTAAAATGCCTCACAAGTTTTGCATGCCAAAGTCACAGTTGCCTATCCTGAACATCAGCAGTTAAAATCAACTTGGGAAAGTAAAATAAGATCAAACTTGGGGGGATATTACTTCATACCTATGCCTGACAATCATTAAAGATTGACTTGAATTTTATGTTGGTTCTTCATGAAATGTTGAACATGAATGTTTTCCTCAATTGCTTTCATCTTCTGCAAAGATACTTAACAGAAATTATCAAATTATTCTTTGTGCATAATGTGTGGTCATGCAGTTCTTTTGTAGACTATTGCACAAGAGTAACCAAGTTGATTTAGATATTTCTTCAAGTATACGTTATTAAATATGCATCATACTGCATATTGTACTCATTGGCTACATTTCTTGAAGGTATTACCAAAAAGGTGTAACTTCAGAGAAAATAGGAAAGTCCTTCTGCGCAAAACTATTCACGTAATCAGCCACCCTTCGTAAACATTTTGCTTTCAAATGTTAGTTACATTTTAATAGATTAAAAAGTTGTTTTTAAGAGAGCACATTTGAAATAACCTCTAACAAATAATTGTATTATTTTAAAAGTCTTAGGAAAACATGTTTGCACTATCATCACAGAACACTTTTGCTGACCTACAGGAAGGATTCTATCAGATTGGATTTACGTTTTGAATTAGTCTCTTAGGAAAAACGCCCTGTCAACTGTCACAAACTCTTCATTAGGACATGACTGAAGTCCACAGTGTTTGCAATCCTTGTGGGGGTGGCGCGTGTGCAGCTCACACCTCAATCCCGTCTCACCCCTCGTTCCCCGTGTCTTCATCTCTTCTCCTTTGAGAAACATCCATCTCCTTACTGCCAAGTTCTTCTATAAATTTTGCCTCTACACCACTAAAAGTGGATGCCATTCTGGACTTAGAGATGTTCCTTGAAAAACTTGCTGTTTTTAAGCCATTATCATCACACAGTTACCTACTATATAGCGTGTGATATTTGAACATGTATTCATATTTAACGTGTGTACTACTCACATTCTTATCAGCTACTGAAGATGGTGGTGACCCTCAGCCACTTATTAAGGTGAAGAAAACAGTAAGATTCATTTCTGAAGGAGTACGTGACGATATACAGATGGTTAAGGTACAGAAAATGTTTCAGCTGAGATACCTATGCGATGCTAAGTAAAACAGCGTAAAAGACCATCGTGCAGGTTTAGTTTCATGCAGGACAGAAAAAAGAACAGAAAGCGAAAAGACAGTTCTGGAGCATGGATGCCCGGTGAAGGTTCTGAGGGCTCAGGAGGGCCAGTCCAGGCGACAGATTGGTGCTTCCACCACCCCTGGGCTCCAGGCACAGGGGAGGTGCACTGAATGGTGATACTGGCTTTCTACATTTTTGGGGGGCCTAGTTTTTTTTTTTTCCATAGCTCACAAAGCATGTGAAGTGAATGCATGTTAATATACATAGGCAAAAGCGGGGACTTTCCATATGTGCGTTTTATTAGCAATAATGACCTCAGCACAGGACATTTCCTGGAAATTAATGACCAGCTGGGGTAAATGGCCCTTGGCCAGGTATAGAAATATCTACTCCTCCAACTGGTCATTAATCGCCAAGACATGGCCTGTGCCTCTAATGTCATAATTTAGAAAGATGGTTTTGGTTTTCAATGGACAGTAGTCATACTGTTCCTTGTAACCCAACTCATTAATATTGTTCAGTAAGCTAAAGATCAGCGTACTGCTTTCTTTTCTACTGTGACATTCAGGTACGTGGCAGACACACGCTGACACGTACACTGAGAGGGAGGGACAAAAATAAAACAACAATCCTGAAAGTGCTAGGACGCTTTCAACACTGGGACTGTCTACTATGAAACAGTCGTTTTCAGCAGTCTGCTGCTCCTTCTTTTCTTCCTCATGATTCTTTGAATTCCACAATCTTTCAGTTGAGATAATGTGTAGGTTAAATTTCTTGCCAGCAACCTTTTCACTAATATGCTGATCATTTGCTATCTTCCTGTGTGTGTGTTGTGTGCATGCGAGTGAGCCCTGCGTCTGGGAGGAATTAGGAAGAGAAGTAGGTGTGATTTACCCAAAGTGGGCGGATTTAGTGAACTGCATAGGTTATGCTGCATGCTACTGTCTGTAAGAAGCTCGACCTGCAGCCAATTAGCTGCATATAATCTACTCCAGATGTCCACTGTGACAAGCAGCACTCTTGGGGATCTTCAGATGTGGAGCCAATAGGGAGTGCTCTGATTATGAGAGAGCTTTACACACTGTTCCACTAAATCAGAGATCCAAGCACACAATCTAACACTCAGGACGGCCTTCAGCCTCTCCCTAAGGAACCAAAAAGTCAGAACTTGTGAGATGAATGAGAACTCATCAAAAAATTTATTTGAAAAGCCAGAGATACAAAGTTTTATATGTGAACTTTATTGATGTGCCTTACTGACTTATATCTATTTGTTTCCAAAGTCATTAAAGTAAGATGATGTACAGTTGGTGGGGAAAAAGTGTCTATGCATGAGACAAAAATTAATATATCCAGTAAGTCTTCACACACAAAACCTGGAACACTGAGATTTAAGAGGTATTCTCAGGACTGAGCGTGTGTGTGTGTGTGTGTGTGTGTGTGTGTGTGTGTGTGTGTAGCCTAAGGAAAGGAGGACAAGAAACAATTTTTTAAATTTTATAAGAAGTTTTTGTTCTTTGTATCTTACTTGGGTACATGAAGTCATTTGAGATTTTTTTTCCCCAACTCAGGAGACACGAGGAACTAACACTACTCCAAAATTACAAGCAATATCTGCCTCTCGCTTTGGCAATCTGCAGCTCACAATTTTGAGCAGCTGTTTGGTTCAATGGCTTTGCCATAGGATACACAAGACAGATCAATCATTAGTAACGTTACTTCACGGCCCAGTGGTGGACAAGGAAACAAATACCAATTAGAAACTTGAGAACCAGTGACGCAATGCAAGACAAACAAATGAGAAGCTTTGTAACTGCAGAAGGCCGCATGCATCTCACCGAGGAGGCACAGACTTCTCAAAGGAGGGTCCAAGTGGGAGGGAAGGTGCTACAGAGAGGAGGCTTGCAAAGGGACAGCTTTCATTTACTCTGCTTTTATCTCATGCTTCCTAATACTTGTCTAATATACATAGCACTTTACTAATTTAGTACAACACCTTACAAATTTAGTGCCCACCTATAATCAGTACTTGTAATGAGTAGAATTTACAGGTCAACAATCTTTTGTTG